TTTTTAATAAAAGTAAGATATTTTAAATTTAAGTCATGTGATATGTATTAAAATAAGTTTTGGGATAAAAAATTTATTTTTTTATTGTGTAACTTAAAATAAAAAATTAAATAATAATAATAAATTTATAATTATTTTATTAAAAAAAAAAGTCTTTGTAAAAAATTTCACCTGGATTTGCCACTAATTTTACCCTGACGCTTAATTTGCGGTTCCTTTTTAAGGTCTTTGCAAAAGCAAAGCTGTCTTCAACTCATCATCAGTGTTAATTAGAGTCAACAAAGTATTTTTTTAATGAAAATTTAACATATAATGATGTTATATGTTAAATAATAAGTAATTTATTTTAATTAATAATTTTAAAATATAATTTATTTCTATTTTTAAAAAAATTAATCTATCCTGTCCGTTTATTTAAGAGACAAATGCATAGGTTTTGTCAATGTTTTCTTAAGGAAAAAATGTATACTTGAAAAGAAAGTGGACTAATGCTGCAACGTCCGAGTAAAAGTCAATGACATATCTTTTATAAAATGCTACTACAATTAATTATTTTGCAACTACTCTACCACTTCATACAGTCCGTGATAATATTTTATTATAATTTGTCGGATTCGATTAACCCTACCCGACATGATAGCTATGCAGAAACCTTTATTAAAGCACCGAAAATTAAGCTGTCATTCATGTTAATTAAAAATACAATGATAAAGTAAAAGGCTATGATCTTTACCAATTAAAGACTTATATGGACAAACAGTAAAAAAAAAAGATTTATATGGACATGATCAGTTATTAGACTTGTAAAGATCTTAAAAGGATCACAAAGCTGTCAATCATGTCATTTAAAATTCAACGATGCGAGGAGCATGGAACACGTGTCTGCTTTTGTGTGGCAATTAATAAAGAATAGGATCCCAACAAAGGCCAACTTGCAGAGGAGGGGCCACTAAAAGATGCAAATAACAATTCTTCCGGGTTTTATGGTTTCCACCCCGAGAAATCAGATTATTTTTTTTCTAAACTGCAATATGGTTACGCAATTATGAGGTCTCTATTGCCCCTATGTATGAAAAAAAAAATTATGAGGTCTTTGTCTTTCATGAAAATGTTCAGGTTGCTTTTCAACAACATCACATTGTGGTCGAACACAAAAGAGTCAGGCAAGGTTGGGCACTAATTTGGTTCGCTTTAGTTTGCACAATATAACTGGCAAGAAATGATTTGATTTTCAAAAAGAAATCCGTGCAGGTGGAGAAGTTATTTGATTTAGTGCAGGTACGTTCATATCAATGGGCAAAGGATAAGAAGGTAGGAGGCATGAGACCTTTTTCAAAGTGGTTGGTGAACCGAGGGGATGCTTGAGCTGAGTATAAAGACAAATATTTGAAAGGATCTGGGTTGGAAATGGGAATAAGATCAACGTAAACAGCTTATTAAAAAAAATTTATATTTTCTTAAATGTTTATGAGTTTAGAGTACCTCTTGTATTTGATTAATAAAATTTTATTTGTTGTTAAAAAAAAAAAGGGTTAAAAATTTGCTTTAAGGAGGCAAAACGAAAATTTGACCAAGGATTTATATGTTGATGCATTAATTGAAAAGTACATAAAAAGTAAAAATTAAAAGAGAAAAAAAATTATTTTAACTTAAATCTGTAAATTTTTAATAATAAATTAATAATAATTTGATAACATAGTATTAAATGTCATTAATTAATTAAAGAATAAAATAAACATATATTGAGTAACTAGAAGAGTACTAATGAAAAAAAAAAGGTTCCAGTTATGACTATCAAGATATTGTTAATGTCATCCATATTTTACTTTTATTTTGTTAAATTACTTCTTTATGAACTCAATTAAATTGAAAATAAACATAAAAGTGATGAGAGCAAAGTTGGAATATTGGCAGAATTTTGCTGGGCTTAACAATATCTCTGGTAATTATAACTAGAGCAAATAAAACGATTTTAGTAAACAAATAGTATTGGTTTTTAAAATAATAATTTTTAATAA